ACAGGGAGATCGCCCGTCCAGCACTGAGACGCAGCCCCCGGCCCCGCATACTCCCCTGCCCCACCATCTCAGAGCCGCCCCATGTGCCCATCAACCTGGGTTAGGTATCCCACCTCTCCCAGTGCTGGGATCAGTCAAAGATACACAGACACCCCCCCTCCCTCGGACAAACATGGAATAACCTCATCAGAGAAGTTGCCTTCTTTTGTGTGCATATAGCCCCCTCCCCCCCCGCCCCCCACACACACTGCACAGACCCAGTGAGGCCTTGTCTACACTGGCACTTTACAGCGCTGCAACTCTCTCGCTCGGGGGGTGTGAAAAAACACCCCCCTGAGCACTGCAAGCTTCAGTGCTGTAAAGTGTCAGTGTAGACAGTGCACCAGCGCTGGGCGCTACTCCCCTCGTGGGGGTGGGGCTTTTACAGCGAGAGCGGTGGTGCCGTGACTACACAGCCACGTTAACTACACAGCGCTTTAACGTTGCTAGTGAAGACCTTCTCTGAGACAGTCCCTGCCCCACAGCACTCTGTTTAAACAGCCACAGTGGGGGAGGGGAAACTGAGGCAAGTGGGAAAGGGCCTTTGGCGGTTTTCTGATCCACCAGCCACAGGAGTTGACGGGCCAAACTGGGTGAAGGCTATGGGGGGCGGGGGATATAAATGTATGCAAATCACTACCTGGGCTCATTTGTATATCTGCATTCATTTCAGCCTAACCCAGAGAGGCCTTTGGCTGTCCCTAGCCTGAGCAGGGCTGGGCCAAGAGCTCTGGGGGATCGTGGGTAAAATCTCAAGGGGATACTGCCCCCCACTGGCCAGAAGGAGGGAGACAGTCCTCATGTGCAATGGGGCATGGGCGTTCGTGTTGGGGGGTCACAGGGCAGCGCCAGGGCCTGGGGCACATGGACCCCTCTGCTGGGTCAAGGACTAGCAACATGGGAGCTGAGACCTAACAAAGTTTGTGTGTGTGTGTGTGTGCCATGTGTCCTGCTGCCCCCTGCTGGAGGGGATCAAACCTGCTTTGTGTCTGCTCATGCACCTCCCAGGGATCAGGGTCCCGCCCCCACCACACACACACACAAACACACACACACAGCACCAGCTCAGCCACAGGCCGGGATCCCACCAAACCCGAGTCAGTTATTGGGACAGGACCCGCCCCCAGCGCACGATTCTTGGGGCAGCTTCTCTAGCTGGCCCAGCCCCTGCCCCACGGCGCCTTGGAATGGCCTGTCCATGACCACAGACCATGCACCGGTAACCTGGAGCCAGGGGAGGGGAGGGGGGGGCTGCAGGTCAGGTCAGGAGTGAGGGGTACCAGCAGAGCTGGGGGGAGCCCAGGGCTGGGCTGGCAGCAGGCTGCGGGTGAGGGGTACCGGCAGAGATGGGGGGGGGGAGACCAGGGCTGGGATGGCAGCAGGCTGCGGGTGAGGGGTACCGGCAGAGATGGGGGGGGGGAGACC